GGGGGTGCTGGCAGATCTGGTACAGAACGATTGTCTGGTAAACGACCTCACCAGATGAATACTATTAGTTCAACCTTTCTGCCAGGGCAACAGGCTCATTTTGCTTCCGACAAAAAATGAAAGTTTTGCGTTTTACACAGTGCTAGCGCTGACAGTGCTGCAAAGTTTGCACAAGTGGGAGAAAATTCGCTATATTTGACCAACTGATCCGTTGAAAGTTTATATTATTTTCAAAGTTCTAGTTCCTCCAAAACGACAGCATATTTTTATGGGAGGAATATCGTCGGCGCTTCCCCTTTAATGGCCAGACTGGTCCAGAATTTCTGTATTGATGAAGGTCTCATCGGTCCTCCATTTGATTTAATCCAAATTTTCCAGTCAGACCGGACGTCCCAACGTTTTGTATTCCATGGAACAAGTTGATTGATCTGACCTGTCTGTAGCCGTGACATCTGCTATTCCTTCTTTTGACCCTCAGTCATTTAGGCCGATATTCATTCGATGACAAAATTGTACCCTACCAGAGGTTTTTCCACACTCGAGCTTGCCTAGTACCCTTTCTATTATGCGGTATTTCTGTGAGCGTAGAACACCTTCTGGCACCCAGGGTAATGAAACATTTGAGAAGTAATGATTTCGCCTGAATATGATCGGTATAGATGAGATAATTCACTATCTTTGCTTGTCTCTAGGGCATGGAGACACATTTGGTGACGATTTTCATCTCAACCCCACGAATCCAGTGAAGAAAGCGACCGGTAATGTCCGAGCACTGACATACTGCGATCTCCATCATATATCACGTGATGATTTACTCGAAGGTCTTAGAAAGTATCCAAAGTTCTGGGAAATTTTTAATCGAGAATTTGAAGTCACATACAGTCTTTCAAGCGAACATGAGAAGGTGAGATATTTTATAAAATCATGCAGTGAAGGAAGTCGTGTTGTAAGTAGGTAATGATCATGACTGGATTTTGAGGGAAGATGTGGGATGGCGTGCATCTCCCCTGAGATTTTTGCACCTCATCTAAAACGGCATTGAAAATTGGACAAATTTTTATGTGTTGCTTGGGGTCTACACAGTCTACACTTTGAAAGAAACTTTTTCTGTTAAATTCGAAACAGTAAAATCTCAAGTACCCTTTTAATGCAATGTTTCGAAAGAAACGTGATGTTTGTAGTAATGTAATGAAGGGGGAAATTGGATGATCCGTACAGTCATAATTAATTATACACATGTACGTCACAACGTTAACGTGGGGGGGGGGGGGATGGGTACGTTATAAGCCATAACATTCCATGGAGGCAGCACCTCCCCCTCCATTTCCGACAAAATCCGGCCTTGGTAATGATTAAACCATTTCGTGCACAGCTGTGAAATCTCGTAATCGCGGCCAAATCCCGTTTCCTAATATTTGTTTTGGTTTGTGGAAACGCGATGTTTATTTATCAAGATCTTCTGTTTTCTACTTGGGAATTTCTACTTTGGGATCGCGGCGAATATTATCGCCAACTATGAACGTTGTATTTTTTATTTACGCGATCATGAGGACGAGTTAAAATCTATTTCTGACCGTCGGCCGTAGCACACGTAATCATCCGAAACGAAGCTAGTGTAGGTTTATAAAGCAGTGTTGATGCCAACTCCTACCAGTTGTGTAACTTTACCACTTGCCATCAGGGCAAGTTGAATATGAAAATTGGTTGCCCGGAACAAAATTCACTTGCCATCTAGTCTAGTTTTGCCCGCACATATGGACAAAATTGGAAGCAAATGAATGTATTAAGGATTCATTAATCACTATTTGAATATCATGTTTTCCTTAACAAATTCAATTGAAGACTTGAGTGTTGATTTCTTTAATAAAGAACAGGATGCATATATACCATAAACAAGGAAACAATTTTAGTGCAAACAACTTTTCCGATCGAGCAACCAAGAAACAACTTCTACTTGCCCAGTTATTTTTACTTGCCCTGGGCAAGCGCTAAGTTGCAACACTGTCTTGTGCCCACTGATCTATGCTTGTACCCAGACTGAAATTTTCAATATTCAAGAAATCAACTTCCCACTTAATATTTTACTTCAGGCAAAATCCGATGCTGGAAGTAGAACATCTTCATTTGGTGGAAATTATGATAATGAAGGACAGAAATGTCACCATGGTGATATTCCTATAATTATTGAAACATCTCCCGAAGGTCAGGCTAATATGCCATTCCCACGTAAAGAAGAACGCAGATCATGGAATGGTCGTGTGGACTGTGCACACAGCGAACGGAACTGTAGTTCTTCGAGTACTGCAACAGGAAGGGATGATACGTTTGGAAATATAAGTAGCTTAGCAGTGGGACTAAAAAGAAAAAATACCAGTCCAGAAACACATCCTAAAGCACCTGACACTTGCTCAAAACTTGAAAACATCCAAGAACAATTGAAAGACCTTTCTTTAAGGTTACACAGACTGGAAGATAAAGTTGGAAGCGACCTTGAAGGAATTTATGAGATTTTAAAATCTTCGAAAGGAACAATGAACGACAACTTGCGAGATTCAGTTGTGTAAGTCATATCATCTTGTGTACATCTGTCCATGTGGAAGTCTACGGCGAGGCTGTTCAATATGAATTGTGGTAACATTTATATACCAAGTAGTTAATGTTCTTGTAATCTCGGTTATGTTGGATTAATGCTGAATTGTTGAAGGTTATGATTCACCTAAATTGCATGTGAAATGGTAGTGAATAAGTCAAATAATGTCAGACTTCCCAAGTTCTGGTCTCTGGAAAAGTTGCCGTAAGAGTTCACAATGCTGAATTGATAAACGAAGAGAGAAGTGGTTTGACGGTGAAATCGTGGATCATTATGAGCTCCAAGTTCTGGTCTCTCAGTGAAGATATGAAGAGTTCACAACGCAAAGCGAAGCAGAGAAATCGCAATGGTGCAGTTGTTGTGATATTACGATCCAAAGTGGTTATAGAGCTGCATCACTGCAATGTATTTTGAAATGACTAAGAATGGTAGGACAATCCTCACGGCTATATTGACATGCTTTCCTGCATGCTTTCGTCAATCTGGTATGCCTACACCATCATAGCCGATGAATACATTGTTATTAGAGACAGACTACAGTAAATGATTTTGAGTTGGGAAAGCAAGTAAGACATGATGGGATATTTTCTGTTTTGTCACAGTAAAACTCCCACAATTCAGATGTAACTGTTAAGATTTATAAATTGTTAACATTGAATTTTGTTATGCAAGAAAGTGTTGAATAATAAATATTTTTTGTGGATTCATTACATAATATGCATTTGTGCACGTTGCTATTCTCAATCCAAAGATATTTTGTCTGTACTCCCAGACTCCTTTCCATTATATTTACTGTTGAAAACTGAACATTTCATAAAGTAAATAAATACAACCCCCGAACAAATTACATTCACTGCAGTTAATATACAACTAAACCTAACCTGTCGAATGTTAATGAAACTAAGGCCCAGTTTACATGAGACCGAGACGAAAAATTGCTCAGACCGGTCTGAAATCATCACGCTCGCTGGACCAAACAGACTGTCTTCAGATCGGGATGAATTCGGAGCGGAATGAATGTGAACACAAACACATTTTGAACCGGTGTAGGCTGTACTCTGACTTCGGAACAGCGCATGCTCACAAAAGCACTGGGAAAAAGAGAAATGGCAGGAAAATAAATGAAAAGATTTGTGATTTTCATAGCGGTCACATGCAAACACACTGACAATCTCGATTTTCATCCCGGTTTGACTTCGTGCCGGTCTCATGTAAACGAGGTCTTTAAGCATGAACCACAACGAATTAAGAAATATGTATCAGAATTAACTTCGAATTCAACAAAAGATGCGGCTTAGGAATTATCAATAGCTTTGGGGACTTTGCAAGTTCGTTCTTGTAGACGGATTCAAATTTGCAAATGTCATGATAGGACAGTAATATTGCAAATAGGGTCGGGCGGTTCAGGGTAAAAACCGAAAACCGTCTGAAAATTTCATAAAATAGTGGAAACACTGGGTAACAAAATATGGCGGCCATTTCGGTTGCGAATTACGAATATTTCGGTCTTATTTTCGCTTTTACACACATCTGAACTACTCGATGATCCTCTAATACTCTATGCTTCGCGCGCTGTTCTGCAAGTTTCGGGTTTTTTTCGGTTTTTGTCAAAAGAAAAATCGATTGAATCGATTGTTTTTCAAAATCGATTGTTTTTGAAAAATCGATTGTTTTTAAAAAAATCGTTTATTTCGGTTTTATCGATAAACCGGCCCGACCCTAATTGCAAATATAGTAATAAATACTCAAAAGTCAAGAGAAACGGCTTGACCCAGAGATTGATTGTGATATATCCCAGAAGATCCGTGTTGTTACAGTAGATAATCTTACAGTGAAAATTGTATCAGAATAGGTAAGGTCGCGGGAAATGCGCAAGCGTTCATGCAATTTGTGAGGACAATATATACCAGCATTCACAGTTTATTAGTTAAACTGTTCAAAGTGAACTAACCGTTCTTGCAGGCAGGAAGGATTTTGATAAATATTGATAAAAGCTAATCAGTCTTTTAAGCAGGAAAATATCAATTTCTACATGAAAAACGTTTTATGTTCCACTCTCCCTAATCACAACGTCCGTATTTAGAGATTCCATCGGGACTGGTAACCAAGTCTTCGCAACCATCTAACATATTCAACGTCCATCAGGGAAATGTTTGTTTCTCTAGAAAAACAAATTCAAAATACGTCATTTGCTATGCCGATGTCGGCGATAGGCGCAGTGTCATGGAGAGTAAAATCCTTTGTCCACCTGAAATTCTTTTTTTCTTCAATGATCACTAATAATGGTCCGTGAGTGCATCACCGACCATCGACGACATATAAGAACTAAGCTTTAAAAATCCAACACAGGGACTGAACCCATAACCTCCTAAATGCTAGCCAGACCCTCTGATTATCAACGAGCTCTTTGCATAACACTCGGCCTAACACTAGCGCTATCTGATCACGATGCAACAGTCATCGGAGTGTTTCGTGGCGGATACCTCGCGAAATATTCGGGGGGGGGGGGGGTTGCCACCATATATAAGGTTGCCACCATGTGACCGCCTTTCGTTGCTGGAAATCTTAGTTCTTTAAACGTTTTTGCCTTAAATTTCATGCAATATATAGCTCAATCTATAATAACCTACCATGCTCTCATGGTCGAAAAATAATTGCCACAGCTTTGTCACAGTTAATCAAGCAACGGTTGGAAATTATTAGCGAGGCTAACTTAAGCAAGGCTTATTCTAGTACGGGACGTGACAATAAACAGGCTTACATTTTACACATTTATCAAGAACTATCGTTATAAAGAAACTCAACAAGCAGGAGGAAAGTCAGTGCAACGAAGACAGCTATTAATATCATATTTGTGATGTTACACCGGGCAAGCTTGAAAAATATGAGTATTTACCTCGGTAAATAACACCAAAATAACATATTAATGCAAGAAAATTGAGTAGACATTAACAATTAAAATCCCACGGACGTTTTAGACGTCGCATTGCTCTGTTTACAACAGCAAAATACAGATTATTACGTCTTTTATACAACGCTTAAATTTCAAACTGGGACAACTGCTACTTTAAATTGGGTCCTAGAACATTTCTAAATCATTAACTCTGTGTTAACCTCAATCCTTAAGCTGTATTATTTTCATTTGATGCATAATATACGACAGGTTTTCTTCTGCAAACATTTGGTTCAATGAGTTTGTTTGCTGTCGCGTTCCCGTTCCAGGTCACTATTGGGGGGAGGTTGCCCCCTTGCGTCATCCTAGTGTCCGCCACCGACTGCCTTTTCATTACCTTGAATATCCCACTGCTCCCCATGCCATCCAGTCACTTATTGTGACATTATGCAAACATACGAATGAGTACGAAACAGTCCGGATTACCGAGCTAGCCTGGCTCGTATAAGCAAGCAGCCCTTAACTTAGATCCGATTTAAATCATGACCTCGACTTGGTGCACTCAAGCAAAGGGAAGTTGCTATTGGTGGTTTGCAGTCAATCCCTTGAGATGAGACAAAGACAAGGCGGTCATGTTGAGAACACGCTCCAAACGCTGCTGACGAGATTCTTTTGTGAGCGTTCCTCCAACACGGCTGACATGAAGTCAAGTGCAAACCAAGAATTATAATAATTTGACAAAACTTACAAAATCGTCGTCCGGATTTCCGTCTGTTCCTCGCTTTACTGCGTATCAGTTTTCCCCGCTCATGCTGCTCACGTTTATCGACACTAAACCAAGGCAGCTCGAACTCCCTACAAAACATAGAAATGGATATTTATACTTATAATTACATGCCACGAATGTTTTTATTCGTTGTTATTTACGTATTGTGCAGTGGCGTACACATCGCAAAATCCTGGAGACATATGACCACCTTTTGTAGCTAGAAATTTTAGTTCTTTCAACTTATTGAATAATGGCAGTTGCCCCGCTAGCCCCCTCCCCCCAGTGTCCGCCACTGGTATCGTGCGACCAGTTGAGGGTGGTGGGGCCCATTGGCATATGGGCCGTTTTCAAGAATCAAGGTATTAAGATTTTTCATCATCCAGAACGAAGCTGTCGGTAGATCACAAATTATCCCACCTGTGTTGAAATGACTGAACTGGTGCACCAAATGCAGTCACAGGAACTGTATCTGATATTTCTACTGTTTGAACTAAATAAAACAAATACATAACTGTTTTGAGACATGGCTTGCACTAACTGCCCAAATATCACGTGAGGAGCATGAGAACATCACGCTTTTCTAAAAGTCAAAACCTCAACCTCGAAGCCCCATATTTTTGTCTCTTTGTCTGCATTTCCACATTCATTGTGAGTTTCGCGCTGAGACAAACTATTAAGGCCGATTTACACCAGTACATATCTTTTGCACACGAGTTTTTGATTTACACAGTGCAACTCAAGTTGTAAACAGGTTGTATGCGACAGTTTTAGGCAAAAGTTGTGTTGTCTAAATCGGCCTTTACGCCTGTATTCTAAAAGTTCACTCACCCTCACACTCAAAGAATGGAGGTTCAATCTGAGCTTCCCTCGAGTGTCAATACTGTTTTTGAATAGCTGGAGGGTTAGTGTCGTACCTTACTATGTGACTACTTACCCTCCAGCTATTCGAAAACAGCATTGACACTCAAGGGAAGCTCAGATTGAACCTCCACTCTTTAAGTGTGAGTGAGCTTTTACAATACAGGCGTTAGAGGTCGAGGTTTTGCGATTTTGATTCCGAAGGGGCAACAGCAACTGAATTAGCTGTATCTGGCAGTTTGTTATGAACTTACTGTGAAAACAATCTGGCAGTAATGTCTCGTCACACGATAGTTGTTCTGGTTCTACTACTTTTCTTCCTATTAATCTCGCTTCTTCTCTTTGCTTGTATTTTTCTTGTAATTCTTCACGTTGTTTCTTTGCTCGATAATGTTGAATGTCCCACCTGGAAAAAGTATCGCATGTTAAGAAAACTATTTTTCATAGCATACCAACTGAATATTGCAGAAATGAATTATGGCACTAAACATTAAATAACCTTTTTCGTCTTTTTTCATCAGCCTCGGGTCGTGAATGTCTTTTCCCAAACGTTTCATCATCCATGTTCTTAATAATAGAAAACAAAAATATGAAACCGATAATTATTCTTACAGTATACATGCAGTATAATAATAATACAGTACCTACTGAATACTGTATTATTATACATTCAAACTTTATTCTCATTTCTGATTGGTCACCAATTCTGGCTAATTATCAATATCCGGTAACTGTCGCGTTATTCAACTGCTGACGTAATTAACGTGCATTAAATGTTTTGGACCGAACTTACGTCAAAATATGGCACGCTGCACAGCGCTACCCCTCGCCATAGTCAATAAAATAAGGTTAGGAAACTCGATGAAGACATCCTCATTATCTATGTTTTGTCTTGGTTTATGCAAAAAACAGTTGGTTCATCGTCACGTGTGTACCGTATTTTCACTAGAGCAACCAATAGTTATATACTCATTTAACCATTGTGTAATATCACGAGGTAATATCATTGGTTGGGCGAAAAAACAATACACAGGCGACGATGAAGTTATAACAGGGTAAGAATGTAACATAGTGGTAAAGATGAGTAGAACACATTGTCAGGACACTATACGAGCATACCTCACAAGTAGTGTCTATATCTTCAGTCGATGAAACACTCGATCTTGTTGTTGTTCCACATGTTTGAAGAGGAGTTGAGTAGTTTTCAACTATCCTGAATTGAGGAACTACAAGTAACCATGAAGCAACAGAAAAGCTGCAGTTAGTATATATGTGTCATACTACTTTCAATCTGAACTGTTTTATCAATTATAATAGAGCCATTTACTTTCGAGTTAAGTTCATTCATTTACAAGATGCGTAAAAGTGATTTTGGAAATGGGCGTCATGCACTGGTCTTGTGCAGAACAAAACTTTCACCCACAACTTAGTTTCAAGACGGCTGCAGTACCAAGAAAATTGTATTAATTAAAACATACTTGGTACATCAGCAGAACAAACAGGCTGATCAGTGTTCTCCTGAATAATTTGCTCAGGTATTTCTGCCACCATACTGTTTTCATTATCCATATACAAAGTTTCAGTTCTTAAACATGTATCAATATTGACGAATCTCTCTATTGCTGAAGACATTAAGACTGCCGCAGCAGCTGGGATACTCTTCCTGCGCATCAGCTCGCTAATTGATGGTTTTCTGTTCATTCTAAAATGCAATAGAAGGAACATACATGTTGACTAAATACTAAAGTAACATGCTGTATATTATTAATACTATAAATTAAGTAACAAGTATAAATAACAATGTACATCCTCTAAATTTTGGGTAACAGAATGTTGAAGGGTTTGTGTAGATGAAATTTCTTCAAATTTCTTAGACCTGACCAGGGAAGTTGCAAAAAAATGAGAATATACTGTAGGCCCTCAAGCAGGAACTGCAACCCTGTGATTCAGGTGCAGCACTCTCGACAATGAATTACATAGCCTGTGTGGCTGAATTATATAATACGTATGTGAACTCTTAGCAACGGGCCTCTTCAACAGAAATAACATGGTTATTAACATATTGAGCAACACCACTCTCCCCTTGACAAGTCATCTGATGTTAGACGAAGTAAAATAATCTACCATTAGACAGTGTAAATAATGAAGTATACTTAGTGTGCATTAGGGCACAATACACGACCTGATGGGTTAACTACATACATGTACATGGACAGATAGTTTTATTAACCCATTGAGCCACAGCACTCTCTCCCTGACGAATAAAATCATCTGGCTTTACACGGAGTAAATAATAACATAGGGTGCATTAAAGCACAATGCAGCTTAACGGTTCGTACCTCTTCTGCAACATTTTTCTATCCCTAGGAGATGTTGGTAAAATGTCAAATTCATCTTCATCATAGTGAGTGTTATGTGTCTTTATGGACATCCTTCGCTCCATACGCTTAATTCTTCCTTCCAGCTTAAACAAAAAATTTACTTGATATTACAGTAAATATAGTGTACAAAACATTAATTGAAAAATGGGTACAGTACTTTTCATATTTTGTTGAACTGTGAAAATGACTTCTTTTCATATAATTTGAGGTTTGGTAAAGCAGGGTTCGAGATTGGAATTTTTTACTAGTATCCATTACGGATACCAGCATTTCAAACTTGGTATCCAAATTCAAAAACCGGTATCCAATGAATATACGAATCAGAATCATTATATTGAATGTTCAAAACTTCGAAACACATACACAAAAAAGCAATTAAGTATTCTTTACTTTTAGTTCACTACAGGGTACAGAGAACATTGATAAAGTAAGTTACAAAGTATAATAGATATTGGATATGCATTTTTTTATTATTATAAATTTCCGCTGTTCTTCACCAGACTATTCTGCTGTAATGACTAAAATAGCTAAATGTGAAATACTTCTAAGTGCGATTGTAAATTTATTGTCACTTTAAATTTGGTATTCGAACAATCATGTGCTTCAAGATCAAAACAGAGAAGAATGCGGAAGTGGAAATGTAGCCTGATAATGAAAACACCCGCCAATTTCAGGTGAATTTGCGGGTGTTTCAGGCTCTCAGCAATTAGCTACTGGAAGTGAAATTTGAAGCAAAGTAAAATATATATTTTAGCGTTCGCTACTCGAAGTATACGAGCGTTTCAAAACTTATCTGTAAAATTATGTATATATTTGTGATTCCCCTTGATAAAGTTTATAAGTAATGTTCAAAAATTGATTTTTATGCAAGAATTTCCTGGTATCCAGTTAGGATACCATTACCAAGGTTTTGACATCTGGTATCCAAAATTGAAAACTGGTAGCGTCAAGGATACTACGATACCGCCAATCTCGAACCCTGGGTAAAGTTGGAAAAATCAATTCAAAAACCAATAAGAACTCAGAATTTTATAGCCTGCGTGCATGCTTGCACGCAGGCTAAAGTTTTACAGTTGCAGACAAATTGAGAAGCGGCAAACAACAGGAGCAGGTACAAAACGCAAGTTGCAGGTTCAAATTTCACAGGTTGGAAATTTTTCAGGTTACCAGGAACTTTAGGGTTGGCTTTTTGATCATGCAAATTTAAAATTACACCACTATAAAGTATTCTAGTAATTTAATTGTGTACTTATTGCAGTCTGACTCCTTTGTCAGCGCTTTTGATATCAGCCTATCCTGCTGCCATGTTCCTAGCCTCTGTTCTAAGGAGTGGCCATCACCCCCGTGAAAACATTATATTAATTTATAGGAAATAGAAGTGTATTTTGCAGGTTCAATTCTGCCTTGAAAGCACAGAAACTTCAGAATCTCAGGCTTTCTGGCATCCTTGTGTAGAAAAGTAGGATAAAAGTAGGACTACAATTTTAGGAAAAGTAGGAATAAAGTAGGAAAATGTGTAGAAAAGTAGGGCAAAAGTAGGAGTTTTTTGAGATGCAAATAACAAAAAAATGGACAACATCGGCACGTGTACCTTAGATATATGTGGTAAGGGGTGGACAATTAGATATCTGATGGGGAAGTTGTGTGAATTTTTGGTGCTCAATATATTTTTGTACTC